TTGGTTTCAGAGAGGACGTGCGCATAGTAAGCGGTTCCGCATTTATTGCTTCGGAAAATCCGAGTGATTTCAGGAAGTTTGGTACGAGTGGGAATGTTCGAGAGGCGATTGCTCGAACATAATCGCAACACCAGCAGATAAGAAGCTCATGTCGAGAACCTTGAGATTGTCAGGACTGAAACCGGACACGGAGTACTCGTTCAATATTTTCGCCAAGAATAGCGTGAGTACAGTATCTTTCGATATCTCTGGTACGGTAGCCCTCGTTATGAGTCACGATGATTGATGGGTTTTGGAAGAAGTACTAGTATTGTGTTTAGGTGTCCAAGTTCACAGACGCACCGGCTTATCGAGTAATAGATCTCCGAACGGCACCGTTAACGCGCTACGTTGTAAGTGGTCTTCGGGTAGAGAGCGAACAAAAAGATGGAATAACCCTGGCATGGCTCTCACCAGCCGTCTCTAAAAAGGTTAAATATGAGGTGAGTAAGGAGAAGAGTAGTGTTTTTGGCCGACGAGCGCTCGTTTCGCGGATGCCTAGCAATTTGGCTAATTTAGATTGAAATGGAATCCAAGATTGGCAAGGCGGTGGTTACACTCACGGAGCATACGTATCACACATCGCTCAATATGAGTCCGGGGATTCCCATATCGTTTCAGGGTGAGTTTGTCCCTGGTTGGCTTTTTGAAATACATTTTCAGTTCCTGATCTAAATATCCCACTGATTCTAGGTTCGCGTTAATGTGGATGGCTGGGGAGAATGGAGTGATCCGCTATGGTACGAGATCGGTCGCGGAATTGTGAGCTTTACTCCACTTCATTGCTTCTAAAGTTTTAAAGGTTTCACTGTAGCTTTGAGCACAATCGATTCGACTAAGTCGGCCAATTAGATCAAGGTCCACTTAGCTAACAGTTGAGCGCGCGTTTGCGGCGCGTCTGCCATTATGTTCAACTGTCGCGCTTGTATCCGACTCTACTCCGATATGGGCAAATCAGCTCTAGAGTGGCTTTATACGAAACTGGTATGGCTGAGTAATCATCCAGATTCTGAGTATATAATCGTCTGGGCTGTACGAATTTCCTGACAGATGGGCGCACGTATGCGGTGCGGTTGGTTAGTCGGGTCTCATACACGGTTGGGATTATATTCATTATATCGGTTGGGACTGAGTTCGAGGGCTTCAACACAGATATAGATCTACTAATTGGGCTGGATGTAATGTGCGCAATTGTTTAGACTGCACGCATTAGCTGACGGTTGAACGGCGCGGGTTCGCGGCGCGGTTAGTTCGCCTGAGGATCTGAAATCAGGCCACGTCGTACGTTGGGGAATCCCCAGCGGGGCGGGTCATATTTGGTCGCTGGGGGAGGGGCTCGTAACACGGGTATCAGTTGGTCGTATTTGTTTTTGAGAGAAAATCTCGGCCTTGGGGCGTTGGGAAGAATTTTTTCCTGGTTGTTGAGTATCGGGTTTTTCACATGTGCTGTACACACGTCCCTCCACGCTCCTCTCGGCAGCAAAATCCTGGGGGAAACCTAGGAAATTTCGGGGAGTTTCGGGGATCGTATCAGTTGAGGGAAGTGGGAGGGAGGTCGTATTTTCCTAAAATTTACCCAGCGGTAGGACATGCCCTGTCTGGAATGCGCGCTTGAATCTTTCTCGAAAGACTTAGCTTCGTAGTTCCAACACGGATTGGTTCCACCAGTTGGACTAGATATAGTGTAAATGATCATTCAGACCGCATGCACTATCTGACAAATGAGCGCGCGTTCGCGGCGCGGTTGGTCCACCCAATGACCTGTCTATAAGACCGCGCCGCGGCCGCACGCCTCCAACTCATATGCTGCGGTCACGGCTTTTTTGAAAGATGACCAAACTGTGCACATGTAGTCAGATATTCTGTTGAGGTCATTTAAACTTTAATTGTTGCAGGTCCAACAACATCAGGGACCTGAAACGACGCCATTGGGCTCGCTACCAGGATGGGTGGTGTTGATGGCGATGGTGCTATTTGTCTTACTCCTCGGCTCCTTAGTTATTCTCTGTCGTCGCAAATCGCATAATCGGAAGCAAATGAGTGATTTGGACGTGCTAGATACCTATAAACAAGGTGAGCGACTTAAGTAGTAGTCTAGACTCTTTCATGAATTTATTAGCACTGGGATAATGGGCGTGTTGTGATGCTTCCTGGAATTCACGGGTGTGGGAAAATGGGGATGAGCGGAATTTTGAGTTTCGATGAGTTTCAGGTTTTCCCTTTTGGTTGTTTCCCATTTGTTTTCCGCTCATCCCAAATGGGGAAGGACGTCCATGTTGAGCTTGTGCTGCTATTTTTCGCTTTCGTATTGTGTTGACCCGTGCTATGGTTTTTTACAGACACGATGACACCCGACTACAGTTCCGGTAATCGTCAATTCACGGACGCATTCCGGTCTGCCGGAAAACGTAAGTGACGCTTCCT